AAATATTAATGGATAATAAATAAATATATATATAAATATATATATATAATTTTTCTACTATTATCATTATTATCTTAATTATCTTTATGATTGCAAACCTCAGTGGCTTAAAATTGATAAAATGAGAAGCCGGGCCTCGTTCGGAGTAGGAATGGGAACGGAAATTTATCAAGTGCATAACTTTGCATGAAGAGAATAAATAATCAGCAATGAGGATAATGGTGATGATTTCACCATTTACAGCTAGATAGCAATGCATTTCCTTTCATTTTAGTACTTAATCAATTACTGGCTAGAACTCATCATTATTATCTTCATCATCACAAAATGTATAAAAACGCTGATTTACAGTCACAATTTATTTGAAAAAAGAACAAGAATATAACAGAGCAGAAGTAAACATTAAATATATATATATAAACATGATATAAACTATATACATTAAATGGAAAATGTTCCATTTACATAACATTCCTTTAGAATTTCATACACATTTTTACATTGACTAGCGTCATCTATGATAAAGTTCGCGCTAAAGTCTTTTTGGATTTTGTTCATCCAGAACGCGCTTGAATCTGTGAAAGCGTTCATCGATTTGCACGTTCTTTTCAAACTGGCCAGGTCATGGAGAGTTAAATTGCTGGCTATTTTGTGTACTATCTCCATCGGCATCTTATCTAGTCAGCTGGAATCGTCCTGACTGTCTGACTCATCTTCAGGAAAGTCACTTCCCCAGTCTATATCTGAAATCTCAATAATTTCATTTTCAGGAAAGTCACTTCCCCACTCTATATCTGAAATCTCAATAATTTCATTTTCAGCCATGTTAGCAGGCTGATCTCCATTTTGAAAAAAATCACTTTCCATATCTAACTCGTCCATCTCGGACTCTGTCTCACAGTCGCAGGACCACTCTTGGGCGTTTTCTTCCTCGTAATTAGGAATTGAATTTTCAGCCATGTTAGCAGGCTGATCTCCATTTTGAAAAAACTCACTTTCCATATCTAACGCGTCCATCTCGGACTCTGTCTCACAGTCGCAGGACCACTCTTGGGCGTTTTCTTCCTCGTAAGGAATTGAATTTTCGGAGCCAGAGTCTCCTTGGTAGGTGAATATCCCCTCATCATCATCATCATCATCTTCACTTTCATCAGAAGATGAAGAGGAGGAATAGTTTAGCACTCTTCTTAAATGCCTCAATCCCGGCAATCTAGGGGTGGTGTCATCGTCGTCGTCGTCGTCACTCACTTCAACTACCACTGGTTCGTGGGCCCTTTGTCTTGCTGCCTCTTCGCACTTTCTGAGCAACAATCCGAAAGACTGCATCAATGCAGTCAATCCCTCTCTGTCTATCACTATCCCTTCACCTGTAGCAGTATTGGCTATAGTGCCAATGACACTGCCATTGACAATTTCAATTCTGAAATAATAATAATAATAATAATAATAATTGATGAAGTAGTAGTAATAAAAACAACAACAAACACGAAATTAAGTCATAAGAAACATAAATTCTACAGCGACTTAACTTAAAGTATAGATGAATTAAGATAGGTATAGGAAACAGAGTAAATACTCTACAGCGTCGATTAAAAATACAGATTTCTTTTTGAAATAAGCAAGTCTGAAAATATTAAGTTTTACATACCTTAATTTTGTGTTGTTGTTCAGTCTAACTATATCTCCATCCATTATAGTGGTTGTTTGCTGCTCTGGTAAAAATAAAATATGTTTAATTTAAACGATGTTTCAATGTAAAAATGCAATGATAATAATTTAACGTACGTTCAAGTATAGAGGAAAGTTCTTACATTGTTTATCCGAGGGATTAAGCCCGTGCAAAAGCTGAAGTTCTCCGCGTGGCACTCTTATCAGAGTATATATCTGTTCCATGTATATACTTCAACTTAGCCAGCATTGAATCAAGATATATGTTCAATTTAAATGTTGTTTCAATGTAAACAATGTAACAATAATATAATGTACGTTGAAGTAGAGGAAAGATCTTACCTTGTTTAGTCGAGCAGTCTTTCCGAGGGAGTACGAGTTGGATAACACCATACAAAGGGTGGCACTCTTGTCAGAGTATATCTCAGTACTATGTTGCTACTTCAATGTAGCCGGTATTGAATCAAGAGAACATACAAAAGATTTGAGCTCTCCTCGTGTCTCGGTTGACAGAGAGTAGATGTATGTTCGTGGGACGTCCCGTTTTGCCTATGCCCCACCCCCCCCCCTTTTACCCAAACTAAAGGAAAGTACCAACATCAAGGCATAAATCATTGAATATTTCAAGTTAACACGAACGTGTGATTACCTAGTGTCATGTTGATAAATAATCATATTTTCGAAAACCATTTGGTTCCCAAACTGAATAAATCAACTTTTTTTGATATTTACACGGCAAAAGAAGCCATTTATAGCACTCTGTGTCAGGATTACTTTTATATTTCGGGTGAAAATGTGGTGAAAGAAAACACCTTCAACTGGCCTATTGGGTTTGAGGGGGCTCGAACACTCTACACCTGCCGTGTTGTTCTTTCGTTCAGTGATAACAGGATAATTACGGCATATCCAGTGAAGACCAGAAATAATAAGTAAGTAAATAAGTTTCGTATAAGAGAAAAAAGCTTATTTGTAAGACTGTTTGCTAGTTGTTAATTAGTAATATTGTATCACATTTTCTAATGTATGAAATAAGAGTTTTGCACGAAAATGAATGAAGTTCTAAAAATAACTGCGCTGAAAACACACATTTTTCTATTTAACTGATACTATAAATTGCCAACTTTGTAAAAAGGGTATTATCTCCCTTTTATTAAAATGTTAAGCCGAAATGGCGATTAACGTAATAAAGGGACTGTCCATAATTGTTTATGTGGAAATTTGTGAGCTAGAAAAATCTGTTTTACATTTTCTTTTAAATCCAAATAAAAAATAAACTAAAAAGCTCAATTTATACTGATTATCTCCCCTAAAACTGCTATTTCCGTTATTCACGCGCACTAATTATAACGACAGTCCATAGATGTATGCTGAAAATTGGGATGAAACATTTATGTCATGTCACATTTTTTTTTTCAGCGATGGCAGATAATTACATAACTTCATTTCTCTTTCCCAATGAAGCAATTCAATACACGCCTACTGAAAACCAAGTTAGGACGGAAATCGACAAAATCGTGAACAATATAAACCCACTAAAATGTGATCACTGTGGAGTTATCTTTTCTTGTAAAACTTCATTGACGAGACACTCAAACAATGGAATTTGCAGAAATGGAAAGAGGTCAACTGATAATAATAACTGTAATAAATGTGGGACTACTTTTCACAGAACTTATAATTTAAAGAGACACGAAAAACTGTGTGGAGTGAACAAGGTGGTCGTATGTAATGAATGTAATAAATCATTTTCTAGTGAAAAAATCCTCCAAAAACACGTTATAAGTAAACACTCATTCAAATGTCCATTGTGTGACAACACACACGAAAACAAGAGTGATTTGATAAAGCACGCACGGGAGCATTTTAAAAATGACTTCCTTACGCTGGCCCAAGTTAAAAAGCTTAGAAATGTCACAGGAAAGTCATTAATAGTTCCTCATCAGACCGCCTCACAGAAAACGCTGGATTCGACGTCTGCTGCTACAAACGTGCCTGGAACTTCTTTTTCCAGTTCAGCTAGCTTCCGGCAAACATCGCGACCAATACATGGCAACGCTGGAATACAGATCAACATTGAACCAGAGGGCGCTGAAAAGCATTCAATGCTGGACTTGTTTAAAAAAAGGCGCCAACAGCTGCACAGAAACCTGGCCGATCAGTTGGAAAGGTGAGTTTTCAAATGTCTCTAGCTCAGTGTATTATTATTATTATTGTTATTATTTAGGGCTTTCATTGAATATCGCAATATCGATGCATCATCGATATTCATCATTCGATACAATATCGATACACAATTTAGAATATCGATACAATGAAATTATATATATTTCTCCTATTCTTGTGAAAATGCTCTATTTTGTCTCAGAAGAAAAGTAATTTCTTTCTCTAATCCAATATTTAATAGACTTGTATTTAATTTTCAGAAGTATAAGAGAAATAATAACAATAAAACTATTTTTTTAGTTTTGATGTCTTATATAAGTACGCCTAGCACCATGTTGACAATTTTTAAACAAATTCAAATAGTTTCCACTGTACTTGCTATATGTAAGCCCTTATATTGATATATCACATCGATATTTGGCTTTCGATATATCGATACAAAATTTTCCATCAATGACAGCCCTATTATTTTTATCATTATTATTATCACACACATTGCAAATTTGTACATGACTATGAGGCACATGATATTGTGCAATAATAGCTAAAATTTGGTAAATGCGCTGCTTTTTTTAAAAACTCTTCTCTAAAGCCCTTCGTTTATTTATATGCTTGTTAACATGTGTGTAACAGTTGCAAATTCAATATGACAGTTGCGCTATATTTTGCTTTCTTTCTCGCCTTTTTAGCTGGAACAATATACGATGGTATATATGTATTAGAGCACATATGGTTCGTTTTGATCCAGAAGGAAATATAAGGTAACTTTTTTTTGTTTCTTCACTTAAGCTGTATTAAATATTGTATCAGCAAATTGTGTCAGTTCAATTAACCAACATAAATACAATGTAAATAAATGTGTTAATTAATGAATGAATTAAGCTGTTAAATAGTAAATAAATCAAATAGGTATATAGAGTGAGCTAATGCACCAGTCAGTCATTCAGTCAGTCAGTTATTTATTCAATCAGTCAGTCGGTCGGTCGGTCAGTCAGTTATTCAATCAATGAAATGAAGCAAAATTATATATATCAAAGTATATCAAAGCAGAACTTTTTTTTCAGGGATGAGGAAAGGCCAGCATTTCGATCAACATCCCAAATTTTACTAGAGGCAGAGCAGATAGACAGTCAGATCGACCAGGCATATTTCAAGGTCAACTCCTCTCTAGAGACTTTCTGTTCATCTGCCAGTGGCTGGATGCTGGATGAAATCCTGCGCCTGGACCTGTACATGCTCAAGTACAATCCTTTAAGGGGAAACTGTGGAGACTTTAACCTGCCACCTGACCTGTCTGGGACTCGTGCCCTCATTACAGTTACTGGGAGGCCAGCGGACAGCAAAGACTGTTTCCTGTGGGCGGTAATTGCCGCCATACATCATGATCCAGATCTACACAACGGATCCGTGCATTGGTCCCACTTCCAGGCACTCAAACACATGTATAAACTTCCAGGAGCATTTTCAGATGGGCAGTCGGTCAGCCTGGTCCAAGTTGCAGAGTTTGAGAGACTCAACAAGGTGTCAGTAAACGTCTTTGGCTATGACGACGCGGTGTTTCCCCTGCATGTGTCCAGCATGGAGAACTCAAAGAGCCACGCAAACCTGCTACTGGTAAACGTTGCCAACCAAGACGATGACAGTGACGCGCCTTTCAAACATTACTGTGCTATTACCAATCTGGGCAGCCTTGTTTACAGACAACAGGCGGGGGGTAACACGCTGCACGTGTGCCCTAGATGTCTTAACTTCAAGTATTCTGCTGAAGATCTTGAAAAACATCTCCAACACTGCAGTCTAGTGGAGCCACTCACTGTAAAGATGCCGGAGTTTCAGCGGCGGTTTCAATGGTACAAGAAACATCATCTACAATTAGAAGCTCCATTCGTCATCGTTGCAAAGTTTGAATGTTTCAGAAGACCAATCTTGGACATTAATGAAGCAACAGAGGGCGTAAATGTCAGGGAAAGATTACACGAACCATGTGCATTCGCTTACTATAGACTCAGCGTTGACAACAGCCATCCTCGACCGCCCGTGTTCTACACAGATGAGGACCCAAACACCGTTATGAGCGAGTTTTTGGCCTGTATGAGGCGTGAACAAGAAGAGGCCCTCTCTATTATGAAAGCAACAAAACCAATGGTGTATTGTGAAGAGGGTCTGCAGAATATAGAGGCATCAAACGAAAATTGCCACATATGTGAAGACGCTTTCATTCCAGGCCAACGTGTTGTCATTGACCACGACCATGTGAGTGGAAAGATCAGAGGCAGGGCATGCGTAGGATGCAATCTGAACTTTCAGATGCCCAGACACATCGTTGTTGTTCTTGATGACCTCTCAGCCTACGATGGTCGAATTGTTATGGCCGCAGCATCTAGTCTCGGTGCCAAAAATATCAGAGTCATTCCTAAAACGATTGACACATATGCTGGAATTACCGTTGAACATTGCCGCTTCATAGATTTTAAGAGTTTTTTTAAAGATTCTTTATGTAGTCTGGTAGAGGGACTTCAAGCAGAGGAAGGTGTTGGTTGCTTAAATCACACGCGCGACAACTGGCCGCTGGACACACTTCCGGAAAAGTTCGAACGCATTAGTTTGTGTAGAGACTACATTCATGGCCCAGAACAGTTAAGAGAGTCAAACTTGCCACCAGTTGAAGCTTTTACAGACAGGATCGAGGGAAAGAGTCTATCACCAGAGAACTACCAGGCCGTCTTAAATCTGTGGCAGCTTTTGAAAGAAAAGACTTTGAAGGGGCTTTTGCAACACTCCCTGGTTACAGACTGCCTCTTCACTGCTGACATTATAAGCAACTTTCGACAGGTGGTAAGAAAGGACCTGAAGCTCGATCCTTTGCGGTTTTACACGATGGCCAGCTTCGCCTGGGAGAGTGCCCTTCGCTACTCAGAAACCACTCTTGAACTTCAGACGTCATTGGACGCTCATCTGATGATAGAAAATGCAATCAGAGGTTAGCATAAACCATTTTGTTGTTGTTGTTGTTGTTGTTGTTGTTCTTTTACCTCTAAATATTGAAAAATTAAGAATGAACATATTTTAAAACAATAGAAATTACCGCTACAGCTTCTGCTAAAAGTTTGTATACATTTATAAAAATCAAATGCTAGTAAATTTACTATTATTATTATTATTATGATTATTATTATTATTATTATTATTATTATTATTTTATTATTATTATTATTACAGTATAACTGTAAAGAGTATACATATATTCATTGTTCTTTTAATTATTTTACAGGTGGTATAGCGGTGGTAGGCAATCCAAGATTTGCGAAAGCAAATAATCAAGATATGCCTAATTCGGAGTTCAATGAAAAAGAGGAAGTAAGTTATATCGACTTCTTAGATTTTAATGGACTCTACACATCAACAATGGCTACAGCACGTCTTCCAACCAGTGGATTTCGCTTTCTGTCGAGCTACGAGATAGAGAGAATTGATTTTGAGACCGTACCAGAGGACAGCGACCATGGCTACATACTCGAGGTGGATTTAGAGTACCCAGAAGAATTACACGACAGTCACGATGGTGAGTGTGTTTATTGCTGATGTCGTTTTCTTTTATGTCTTTTTTTTTAAATAAAAAATGTACGTTACTTCAAGTTTTCCATATCAGTAACTTGGTGTAATATTCCTGACAACAACAACAACAATAATAATAATAATAATAATAATAATAATAATAATAAAAAATAACAATAACAATGTTTAAGCAAAACCTTTTACACATCTCTACCTTATTTATACTGAATTTTCCGATTTCATATTTTTACTTAATATACTGAACTTTCATTTGGTTTTGAGACGTTTGTTTATTTGTTTTTTCCTCAGACTTTCCACTTGCGCCTGAAAAAATCACAATTCTGCCAGAACATTTGTCTGAATATACAACTTCTACTGCCAAATCTTGTGGGATCAACCTAGATAACGTTTGTTTGGAAAAAAGGCTATGTTTAACACTAAGGAACAAAACAATGTACACCCTACATTACAGAACGTTACAATTCTATACAAAACATGGCCTAAGAGTGACAAACATACATAGAGTGCTACAATTCACGCAGATTAAGTGGCTACAGTCATTCATGAAATACTGCTCTGAAAAACGCAAGAAAGCAAAGTCTAGCTACTACAAGTCCATGTGGAAAAATATAGCTAATCTTGTTTCAGGTAAGACTTACGTGATTCACAAGTTCATACATTTTTACAATGTGCAAAAAAAGTAATGCCGAACTGGAATTGTGATATTTAAAAGATGTCTAGTTCCATTGGTGTTCAATGTTCTAACGTAGTTTAAAACCTTTAAGGCAATCATAATGTTATTAGTATGCGTTTAGTTGCATACAAGTTAGAAAGAGTTAATGCCTGTACTTGATTAAATAACCTATCCAATTTTGTCTGATATGATAACGGAATAAATAGATAATTATTGTTTCCTTTTAAAACTATTTCTTTTGTTGAGCAAGTAGGATTATGTCTCATAAAGGTGTGAAATGCCGCTTTAAATTCATACTTACATTTCTGCACACTGAAAATGTATGTATAATATAATATTAGTGAATTACTGATTAAGTCTGTTTAAATTGTGTAATTATTATTCTCATTCCAGGAAAAAGCTTTGAAAACCCGCGTAATTACAAAGACGTCAGAATATGTACCAATGAGAAAAGTTTGACGCGCC